TTTGGTAATGAATGGCTAACAAATGAAGCCAACAGCCCACTTTTCCTAGAACCGAAATGGCTTTCCTGGATCAAGAACGGTATCTGGAAAGTAGACCACTTGTGGAAGGAGGACAGAAAAGACTGGATAACGGAACAAGAACTTAGTGCCAGACTGAAAGGATGCCACAGACGAGAGACCAATCTTCAGTACATACTTAGTCTTATCCCACAGGAGTGGAAAGATATCCTGGGTAAAGATGATTCGTGGAGACCGGGCGAGTGGGGTCTTATGATTCAAGACGCATCCGCTTCTAGAGCCTATCAATTCTCCCACATACAGCAAGACTCACACAGCAGAGCCACTTTCCTTTCCTTTCCGGTCTCCTTCACCAATTCGAATACGTTAACTATTTTGAACTGCAATGTAGAATCATCTATACTAGATTCCTTCCTCCTCARGAAAGTAAGAGTCCTAGGTCCATGGCCAAAGACAATTTTCAGACCAGACACCGCAATCCRGTCCTTAGAATTCGACCCTGCGGAATGGGCCTGGAAACCTTATTCCACCGGCAACTTCAAATCAAAGATCCCAATCCAGGATTACTCAGTCAAACTGGGCTACAGACTATCTCTAAAGACCAAAAACCCAGACCCRATCATCAAAAATAGGTGGCGGAACCTGGTGGGCCCAGAAGCAGACAAAATTACACGAATCCATTGGGAAAAATTCAAAAGTATCAGACCAATTAAGATCAGAAGTTTGCAATGGCTGATTGTATACGCAGCCCTACCAGTGAGCCAATGGCTGCACATTAGACGGAAAGCCACAGACCCAGACAGCTCTGAAATATGTGTAATCTGTTCTGAAGGTGCAACAGAAGATGTAGTCCACTGCCTAGTGCGATGCAAAGAGGCGACTGAATACTGGGCAAAAGCTTCTTCACTCTGGGATTCCCTCTTTACATCTCTTTTCCCCGAACAACCCATTCAATTGCTACTCTTGACTAACATCCCTGATCAGGCACGGAAGGCCGAAAGGATCTGGTTTGAACTCATCAGAAAAGTGACCCTATGGGTCATATGGAAGGAGAGATGCAGCAGAACAATTGAAGGACGGTCCAACCCGCGGGAGAAGGTGTGGTTAGAAACAAAAACAATGATTCCAGCTGAGATCCTTTGCAGATGGAGGAAGATCAATCAAGCCTGGACGGAAGACGAGGAACAGCGGAACAAGGAGAGACAGAGATTCTATAGAAACTGGCTGGTCAATGGCAAGGTTGCAGAAATAAGACAGGACCGGATATGCTGGAAAGACTGGCATAACTCAACTCCGGGAAGAGGTCCCCAACATCAGACATCACTGGAAGGCATAACCACATCTTAGACCGCAAGGGGATGAATACATTATTCAAACTACCCAGGGGTACAGTCAACGTGGGATAAAGGAGGAMAAGCAGAGGATGATGATAATACTGGAGCATGGAAGGGGGTTGCAAAGGATAATCCTACCTCAGAAATCCGGAAGCGGACGAATATCTTACCAGGTTTCAAGTTTGATGATCGGTGGACAAGAAGGCAGGCTGAGGGTTTAAGGTTGAAGGCGAAACGGTGGTCCATCCAAAGGGGGGCAAAGAGGTGTTTGGGGGAGGGATCAGGTTGGAGAGGGATAACAGATGTGCTCTTTCTAGGGTCAAAGACATCATTTGACAGATCTGGAAGCCGGATCTGAGAGGAAAGAGAGTGACAAAGGCAAGCTGACAGTCAATCCTCCCGCGGTGGAGCAATCAATGCTGCTCGGGTCCTTCGGCCTGACGGAAGGAAGCGTGTGTGTGTGGGCACTGATGTAATGTACAATTTGACTCGCCGGTGGAATAGGAACCGGACTGACGCTCCCCAGATTAGAAGGAGCCAGGACCATAAGGTCCTGTCTGTTTTGAAAAAAAAAAAAAAAAAAAAAAAAAGAAGATCTGAGAGATTCTGAGGGTAAATCTCTGGTTGTTTCATCAACAAAGATCCCTCATATCTTTGTTGCTACCCCCATATTTTGAAAGAAACAGCCATGAACTGTGACGAGTCTGATGACACATCATGTTGAAGTCGTCCTCTCCACTTTGGATCGACTGATCTATCCTGTGAAGCTGTTCGACTTCTTGTGATTTCCTTGTGATTGATCGATCTGAATGTTCACTCACTGTGATTGCGATTTAGCATCTCACTATGATTCTAATTTTCGAACATTCCATCACATATTGCAATCACCTAATCATACCCTTCCTTTTTTTTTTGTGTGTTATGACCTAATGTTGCATGCTGCTGCACACGGGCCCCGTTTGAGGGGCCCGACGGTTGCTGAGGGGCCATCAGGCCGCGTGCCATACAACATGCGCCCTGGAGGCCCACGGCGGCCTTTGAGGCCACAGGTACATGAGAGGCAGCGCACTTATTTATTTTTTTATTTATTTATTTTGTGTGTGCGCTGTCCTATTTTTGTCTGTTCAAGCACCATTTCGGACTTGCAGTCCCCAAGGCACGACCTTGGGACTGGGTACACCATAGCCAGGGCCTAAAGAGGCCAGGCGCATTTTCGTGCCTTGCTGCATCAGCAGCACAGTCTGGACGCCCAGTAGGGGTCCAGACCGGCTGGGCCGTTTTGAGGCCAGCACCAGGCAGGCCCAGCCTCGCCCAGCGCTGCATATAGCTGGGCAGCGGCTGGGCACACGAACAGTTCGGGTAGCTCACTTCTCGAGCGACATGCTGCTGGACCAGCACTGCATCTCAGCGCTGCGCTAGGGGATAGAGGTAGTGGCGTAGGTAGGAGAGGGCAGAGGCCATACCTGCAGACGGCGGACTTACCTGGCGCCATAGCTGGGACTGCGCGCGCGACCTGCACAGGACGACGACAACACGACGGTCAGTGTACGGCGGCATTTCCTGCAGGTGAGACAGCAGGGAAGACTACATCTTCGTCTTCCTTCGTCTCCCTTCCATCTCATCTCTCTCCTCCCTACTTCTTCTTCTTCTTCATAAGATACGCGCGCGCGCGTGCGTGCGCGCGCTCGAGAGAGAGACAGAGAGAGAGAGAGGTTACAGGTAGAGGATACAGGCAGGGGTTACGGTGGGCAGAGCGCCCAGGATCTGATCCGACACTTCTGAGGCTGACATTGATTGGACATCGGCAAGGCAATACTTTTGGACTTCGCTATTACGATCTTGGTCTTCCCCCTCGCCTCCATCTTCGTCTCTCCTCTCCCCCCCATCTCTCGTCTATGGTATCTCCCCATGTGTGTGTGTGTGCAAAGGAAGGACCTTTCCCCCCATCTCTCGTCTATGGTATCTCCCCATGTGTGTGTGTGTGCAAAGGAGGGACCTTTCTTCCATGAGTGTGGTCCCTCCTCCTCTTTCACATGTGTGACGAGTGATGGGTGTCCCGTCAATCCCGGTCAGGTCAGGACTTATCTCAGAGTCTTCCACTGCGCTAATTTGTGCCATTTCGTATGTATCAGGGTGTACATTGCCTGTTGATGTTTCACTAACATTGCATTGTCCATTCAGTCCTTTTCATCACATTGCGGATCCTTGGCTGTACGTACATTGCCCATCACCTAATCAGGCCCTGGGAAACCAGGCCGGGCTGTTTGGTCTCAAACCATAAGGAATTGCCGAGTCAGTACGAGTACAGTTCTGTACTGCTGACTGATTCAAGAGATCTGGATTTCACCCACCCCATGCGGCTGAATGGTACACAGTGCTACACACATGATAGTATTGATAAACGGACCAGGGGTTCGAAGCCTGATTGAATAAGATGACTGCACGTAAAAAGAAGAACAAAAGAACAGACCTTGAAATCAACCACCAGGGTTGATCATCATCTTGGGTGGTGGGTCTCCATCTCTCTCTCTCTCTCTCTCTCTCTCTCTCTCTCTCTGGGCCTTGGCCAAATCGGCCAAGGTTACGGGAGAAGCCCTGCTGAAGACAATCTGTGTCATTATGAACCAAGCATACAGGAAGACACCAGGGCTTCGAACCCGCGACCCATACCAACAGATAGTTGGTAATCGAGTGAAGAGACACTGCGTCGTGACACAGGTACCCACAGGCAGTAACTTCCATGTGTCGGAAAAACCTGGACACATCTGAAACAAAAACGGGTTGGGCCCGGATTGATAACTGCGAGAGAACAACATACGGCCGAGTTGTGTTGTGTTTTATTTTATTTTGTTTCCTATTCGGGATATAGGCTGCGTACGGCTTCGCTGCTTCTGATACCCGCCACTGCGCGTGGCAGTCTGCGAGAAAACGGACTGTGCAGCTATAGTTAGTCTTTGTGCCTCTGTTCCCCTAGGCAAGAGTACATTCGCATTGGATTTTTCAATAATAATTCTTATATTTTTTGTGCCTTCATCTCCCGTAGGCAAGAGTTCGTTCGCATCGGATTTTTCATCATTTATGTTTATTTTGTTAGAGGTTTGTCATCCGGAGGTAGCACGTGGCACTACACCCAGCATGCAAGTTAGGAAACACATAGGCACAAGTAACGGATATAAGCATGAGAGGCAAGGCTAAAGGCCTCTTTTTCGACTACAACGCTCATAGCAGTGTACCTACCTGACGAGTCCGTGCAGACGGATGAAACCAGTAGTAGGATCTGCATTGTCGAGTTTTTGGGAAGATGGTGGCTACGGTGACACGGGAAGCAGATACATGTTCTATGTGGTTCGTTATGTTTTGCTTTGAAGGTTGAACTTGCTTTTGCTTGTTTGTTCAAAACTTGGGATGCTCGGATCTAACCGAGCATGTGTCTAACTTCGTGCGTTGCTGTACCCTTCCCTACAGGCAGTTGCCGCAGTCTGCCTCTCTCTCTCTCTCTCTCTCTCTCTCTCTCTCTCTCTCTCTCTCTCCTCCCTCCCCCCTCTCTCTCTCTCTCTCATCTTGTCAGTGCTATTCAGTTTCACTTCAGTTCCATTCCAGTTCCACTTCAGCTCACTTTGTGATATGCACCCTTTCTTTACTTGGTCGGTATGTTGTGGTCCTTTGTTAAGTCTGCTTGGATGTTTGTATTGGGGCAAACACATCTTTCACAAAAGGAAGGAAGGGGGTGATTATTTAGTTTGGATGAGATGCAACCTTTGGGTTGGGCGGGGGAGTAAGGAAGAGGGGGGAGAGGGGCATGGGAGGGAGGGGAGGGGGTGCCCAGGACTAGGTACAGAAGTGACGAACCCTTTAGTAGGTGTGTCCTTAGCTATCCAGTTCACACTGTCCATGGCCGCCAACAGGCAATCCTTCTGTTGTTGATGGGTACCATCTTGAGGAGTGCCCATCCCTTCTGTTTCATCAGCTTCCACCGTGGGATCTGCTTCGGCATTGGATTCTCTGGACATATGCCATAATCCCGATTTCTGAGTTGATAGCTGGGATCTCTGGCCACCCCTGTACTCTAAGGACCCTCCTGCATCAGCCACATCCAACACCAAGCATTCAGCAATGAGTCTAGAATCCTTGTCCAGACCCAACCAAGTTGGGGCTGTTCCTCCCATAGGAACACTGGCTCAGCAGACGACGATGACATAACTGAGCTACAGAAGGGTTTCAAAGTTTCGCTTCAATCCTGTAATCAAGTTGAGTTGCAGATCAAACAATGCAGTCCCTCGGGTCTCCCAGCCATTATGGGGAGAAGCGTTTTTGAGCGAGTTGTAATCTGTATTTCTGACTTGCCAGTGGAATAGGAACCGGACTGACGATATGACATGATTATGCAGGGGGGGGGGAAAAAAAAAAAAAAAAAAAAAGGGAA